TCTGATTATATTGTTGTGTGCGATTTTTGATACTTAAAGATTTTACCGATTAATTTTTGACATTTGTCGTTACTTTGCCTCATCTCTATTCCTCCAATCTAGAACAGCCAAACCTTACAATAAGTTGACTAAAACAAAGTTGCGATGGATAATCAGCCACATGAAACCGCTTAGGCCTAGCTAAATTACCTATAATAATTACTGTTGTTTTGTTTCACTTGTCACCTTGGTACAAGTACTGAATTACTCCCTAAAATACCGCGGTGATCACTTTGGTGCACAAAATAAGGGTAAAATATTGAGATTAGTTACATAAAATAACAGCAAAAAATACTAAAGCTAGTACGATACCAATATGTTCCAAGTGATGACAGTAGGTTCAATTAACCTGGTTGGTCCTCGTTACAGGTTGTAGCTGGTATGGTCAAACCAGTCATAAGTTTCAACAGTACCAAAACAGAGGTATAACTGTTTAAAAAGGTGTAGCCTTTAGTTAAAAAGGGCTGGCCGTATACTTAAATTTGTACCCATAAGTGAAAACCCTGTTGGAATGGGTTTTATTTGCCTCGAAAATACTCTGGATTACTCGAGATCGAGGTCTGGATACGAAATCCTGGAGTGAGTCTACTCCTTGGGTCAGCTTTTCACTAATGATTAAATAGAGAACACAGAATCCACTGTGGGAAAAACGTGCAAAGCAAAACTTACCGAAAGGATGGTTGTAAAAATTCGAAATCATCGGCGAAATTGTGGCACTTTACGAAAACGTAATGCAACGTAAGGCAAGTCAATGTACCCTTAATTCAATAATTGAGAATATTAAGGTCAAAATCCCTCAAAGGCGAAGACAAAATTTGACTTCTTCAGAAAGACCTTATTTCTCGTCATATCACTCGATAGTATGGTGAAACCAGTCGTAAGGTTCAACAGTATACCAAAACAGAGGTATAACTGTTTAAAAAGGTGTAGCCTTTAGTTAAAAAGGGCTGGCCGTATACTTAAATTTGTAGCCGTAAGTGAAAACCCTGTTGAAATGGGTTTTATTTGCCTCAAAAATACTCCGGATTAGTCAGGATTCGGAATCCTGAAGTGAGTGAGGTGGTCTTTAATCTACTTCTTAGGGCAGCTTTTCACTAATGATTAAATAGAGGTCAGAATCCACTATGGGAAAAACGTAAAAAGCAAAACTTACCGTATGGATAGTTGCAAAAATCCGAAATTATTGGCGAAACTGTGGCACTTTACGAAAACGTAACGCAACGTAAGGCAACTCAATGTACCCTAAATTCAATAATTAAGGTCAAAATCCCTCAAAAGCGAAGACAAAATTTAACTTCTTCAGAAAGACCTTATTTTCCCACATAGCATAGGTATTTAGAAATCGAACAAATCATGTGAACATTTGAGTCATTTGGAATGATGAAGAATAATTCAAAGACAAATTCAGGTCGGACAAACAAGCTGTGAGATTTATCATAGATGAAATTTCGCATCTATAATCTGTCCTTTGACCCTGGCGCAAGGGCGCATATACGGGGGGAGGGGGTAATGGTGGTAATTACCCACCCCATAAAACTAGAATTTTTTTTAACCTCTACCCTAAATTTTTCACTTTTGTTTTCCTCATCGACGTCAAATGTCTGTCACTCGGCGCCGCAAGACGTAGGGTCAGGTTTAATAGCGATTCACCTCTGGGTTGGTTTTAACTTCAGGGTGCACGTGTCTTAGGGCCGGTTTCTCAATAGCAGGTCACCTCCGGGCTAAGCATGCCTCCAAGGAAGACAAAGCAATTCAGCAAGCTCGCCCTGGATTTAACTCGGAGGAGACTCGTTATTGAGAAACCGGCCCTTACGTGTCCAGTTGCAATAAAGTTACGCTTAACCCGGTGGGGGCTTGCTATTGAGAAATCGGCCCATAGGGCCGAATTTATAGTTGATTCTTTAGGTTTTCTCAGACTTCAAGGAGGCCTTGAACGTTTAGAATTGACATGAATAACTTGTTACATAGTAGCAAGTGTCCATTCTAAACTCACGATCTTTGAAGGTTCCTGAAAAATACTTTTATCCATCCTAGCAACTTGAATCTTAAATTTGTAGATCTCATTGAGAACTTCAAAAAAGCTTATTAGAGTTACCCCTCCACGGGGCACCGTTTTTGAGAAAATCGACTTCAAATCTTTTAATAAATTTTCAGAGTAATTTCAACTTTGACGGCTTATATCTCAGAGGCAGAAACAACCTGGAATATCAATATATATGGAACAAATTTGTAGGTAATTTAATGCTCTTTCAAAAGAAACCAAATTCGAGATAATCGGTTCGAAATCACCTAAGTTATAAGCGAAAAAGTGGCGCCGTGTCAAGTCCCCAAAATTTTCCAAGAGAAAAATCTTTTTTATTTTTTTGCGGGCTTGGGAAGCGTCGGGGCCAAAAACGCCTAGGGACATTTTCGACGTATTTTTTGCTCCTCTATCCGATGGAAGTTTCAATTTTTCAAAATTCGGAAAATTAAATACAGGGCGCATATACCCCATTACACGCCCTTTTTCAAAATTGAGGGGACGGGGGCTAAAACCTTTCCGATAAGTTGTAGAGGGCCGAAACTTGAAATGTCAACTTTTTCAGACCCCTTTTACCTACATTCCAAATTTCGTCTGAATCGGCCCCAAAAAAAATTTCAGGTCTCGTATTTTTTTTTTCGATAGAGTTCCCGTTCCATTATATACGTAACAATCGGCGTTAAGTAAGCGTGCATTGGATTTCTGTTTATCCCCTCCCCCAGACTTACACACTGGTTGCGCCACTGCCCTGGTGTAACAAAAATATGAAAATAAAATTAAATAAATAGAAAACAAGAGCCGGACTCTATTTTACGGTGTTAGGTTGTGCCTATTTTATTCATTTTTTTTTATTGTGGGCATTACAACTGATAGTTCAGTTAAACCACTAGTGGTACAACACTTGAAACTCTGAACCACGTTCAACAGTGAACTGTAGTTCAACAGAACTTGTGTTGAACCATTATTTGTACAACCGGGCCTTAAGTGTCAATCCGGTGGTTTATGGAACCAATGATGGAACCGTATGCAGAACTAAAACTGGTACTGAGTTCAGCAACCGAACAGAGTACGTGGAGTGTGCAGTACACCACTCCGTGTACGAACCACTTGAAATCGAGGAAAATCATCATAGTCATAAGCTTAGAAAATATACAGAATCTGCAACTACTATAATTATTGTTTAATTTTCAGGAAAGGAAAAATGCAAACAAAGCTTAATAAAATCAGGGAAAAATTAAATATCTATAGGAATTTTGAATGGAAATCTGGAAATAAATGTGAAATAGTTAAAAGGCAATTTTGGCACGTTACAACTCCCCCTCTCCTACGATAGGAGGGAAAGTTACAACATACAAGACGAACTTTTTTATGACTTTTTGTGTGGAGAGTATACGAAATACTGGTCAAAATATTGACAGGTTCACATATTTTACGTCACTATAAATGTCAACATTGGCTGAAGCCTCTCATGTTAGATGTGCGGAAAAAATTAAAATTTCCTCTGATTGTTCACCTTCATGCCATAGCTATTCTACTAAGATTATTTGCAATAGATAGTACCAAAACTAAACGGTTCCTTTTTACGTCTCTATTGCTGAAAATCTAAGTAGAATAACTATGAGGCTCTTGCACCAACCTCGGTCTTCCTTACCTCAATGCAGGCACATGAAATCTTAAACAATGAAGTTCTTTACTTTGATTTTCTTGATGTTCTGAGGTAAATTTTGTGTACTCCCAATGTCACTCCTAACTATATAAGATTATACAATAATTATTGCCATATTTGCTCTTTACTCCGTTCCGTTCTTTGCCAAAACTAATTTTTTTTTTCCGCCATTATGCAAACGAGCCCTCAACCGATTCGACGTGCCCTTGGAGACCGTTCAGCGGGGTTGAAAAAAAAAAAGTAAAATAGGGCCCATCAATTCGGGGTCCAAAGGGTCCTAATTTAAAAAATTTCAGATGACACGGCACACTTGTAGGACATAAAACACAGACGTAGAGAGTAATTCTCATAGCCCCGGCTGTTCCCTACATGAGTTTCGGCCTTGCCCCGAAATAATTTTAAAATTTATGCGGAAGTCGTTTGTTATGTCCTAAGTTTAATTTTTCCTGGGTCCGAATTTTAGGTTTTTTTTTTTTCGAAATTATTATTGGGGGACCCTTTTCACAACGATGAGTATTAATGTGACGATATTTAACCTTTAATTTCTCTGACAGCCTTTGAATTTGATTGAAATAGTTATTAATAGCGTGCTATAATTTTTAATTATTTTATGATGTAATGATGTCAGGTGTTCGTAGCATGTAGACGCGCACGCAGTACATTGTGTAATCTTCCTCTTGGTGCAGCCCTGTCTCATCTTAGGAGCCCTCTGGCAGACCCAGGTTAGTTTGGAGTCAATGATGACTCGGCAATTAAGAAGTGTTCAGCAGTAAACAGTAATTACAAAAGTTACAAGCTTAATTTTGTATTCTCCAAATATTCTTTTCATAGTATTCAAACAATTGGTTTATAAAATTTCTATGACTTTTGTAACTATGGATAACGACCGCTAATAATAGGGTTATGACCGATTCCCAGTTATTCACAACCCTATTCTTATCAACTTTCTGGAATAAAACATCTCATCAATCTAAATGCAACCCGAAATTAAAAATAAAATCTTCGTTACACAACGAAAAGTCCTCTCTAAGTATGTTTTACCTTTTTAAACAAGCACCATAATTTTCGCTCAGTGATTACGAAAGATCCGCTGCAAGGGATAAAGGCGTCGTACACATCGGGAGAGAGAGTATATTGTCAGCATTTGGTCCAGCATCAGCAGCAGCAGCAGCAGCGCGCGTTGCTTCCCTTTTAGAAAATGCTGCCGTGCCAGCACACCGCACACTGGTTGGCAGTGGCAGAGCGTCCTCAGCTTTCGTCACACACCGTTTCGGCCTTTTCGAAGGTCAGCAGGATAGTAGTTGTACTCGCGCGTAATTCGTAATTGTGGTTCGGCTGATTGCGGGGTTGATTCGGACTTTTTTTTTGAATTTGATTATCGGACAAGATAATGAGTGCGATGCGATGTCTGCAAATTTGCTTTTTTTTGTGTTACTTTTTTGAACGGAGCGATGCCGTTGGGATAAGAACCGACGAGGAACCTGGTGAGAACTTTCAGAAAATTGATAAATTATTTCCAAAAAATTGTGAATGAGCAAATTACACAAACATTGTACTGAATTATAAGTGTATGCAGCGATATTCTTCAAAATTCGTCTGCAATTTTGGAAAAATATCAATCTTGATTATTAAGACAATATTGAAAATTTAACAAAGTGACTTGGAAAAGATTCCTTCATCAATTGAACAAAGAATCAGTGCTGAGTCTGCTAAGACTAGCCTAGTCATGCTGAACTGTCATATTTCACTCAACTTAAAAATTCGCGTATAGATGGCGCCATGTACAAGGTCATTCATGGAGAACTTATCAGCAAGAGTACCTATAAGAATCTTTCTTCTTTTATTCGGTTTCCCAATCACCTCTTTGCAATCCATATATTCTGACCAATGGCAAACCATGGAATGTTCTAGAATTAAAATCATTTGAAGGTGAAGTACAGATTACAAATTGGGCCCCTTTTTGTGTGCTGTATTGGCTTATAAAGCCTTCCTTCCTAAAAATTAAGTGAATATAACTTAACGCAATTAAATGTTTTGGATTTCACTGGTAGGCGGCAGAAAACTTGGAATTTTCAAGATTATTTAAGATACAAAAGACATTGTTGTAGAGGCTCCTCTTTTACAATTTTTTCAGGATTTGAATAATTTTAACTGATTTATGGGATACTGTTGTTGAGAAAATTGAGTTTTGACTGAAGCTCAACTTTAAAGTTCGATATCTTGGAAAATCCAAGTGCTACCAGAATTATTTTGGCATGGTTCCTAAGGAATTCACCGCCCTTTCACATGATACCTATATCATTTGAATGAAATTGTGTAAACATAATTTGAAGTATTCGTGCCCATATCAACATTCTATTTATCCAGTCTCAGTTCACATATAAGATATATAGTATTTCCAAACTCAATTGGAACAAGGTACCAACTGGTGGCTGATTGGTCACTGAAAACTTCCATAAGAAATATATTGCCCCTAGTCAGCCACCAGTAATGATTTATGTTCACCTTGTTCCAATTGACAAAGCCTAGAATTACAGATGCTCTGCAACACCAAGATACAAATGCAGGACCTGCAAGTCTGACTTTTCGTATTACAGAAGCAGAATGCATTTGCAGGTCGGCTGCAAATTTGCGCATTGTGAAACTGTCCCGCAAGTCCTTGTTTGACTTTGACATTCAAAACTGATAAAACAGTAGCATCCAAACACTTCGGTCATATTTGCAGAATTGCAAATTTACAGATGCAAATATATTGTAATTTGGCCCTATACCAACATACATTTTTCAGGTGTTGTAACTCCTGTTGAATGCTTTTGTGAGACATCTACCTCTATGTCCTCTATGCTAATTCAATTTCAATCAGAATTATTTAGTTGAATTTCAGTTACGAAACAATTTCAGCTGGACCCTAAATCACTTTCTGAAGCGCCAATTGATTCAATTTACCGTCCTCATTTCATTGAATCCCTGTAACAAAATGACATCGAAATATTGACGAACAAAACCCCAATTCTATGGAATACTAGCACCATAATCTACAAGGGGCTATGAATTCTTTGCGAAAACTGTGGGAAATTTAGAGAAATTTCTGGGAATTTGTAGGGAATTTGAAGGAATTTATGGGAAATTGGAGGAATGTATAAAAAATTGGGGGAATCTATTGGTTTCAACACTGAGCGTAATAAAAATATAAAAATACATTTCTTACCACGAACAATCCTCTTTCAGGGAATTTTTAACAGGCATTTGCAGGGAATTTGCGAACAGTTTGGAAGAATTTTTAGAGACTTTGCAGGAATTTGCGGGAAGTTTAAGGAATCATTTGCACAAATTCGGAAGGGGTAATTCATTCCATAGACTTTGTCCACCAATGGACTCATATTTTCTTCTCCATAGTATTTAGTCAAGTTACAACAATGATAAACACCCAATGGTTGGCTCGGGGTATCAACGTTAGCTATTTCATATATGGTTGGAGGGACTTTGCAAGTGATAATGTAGTCTCTTAGAGTCAAATTTGGTTCTCGTGACTGCTTTAAGTATGCAGTTTTACAAGAACTTTTTCCCCAATATCCAATGATGGCATAGTATTTCTTGTTGCATCGGAATATTTTGTCTGACAGTCTTGGGCTTTTTCGGGATTGGATCTTGCATCAATAAGATTGGTATACATCTGTTGTAAGTATGGAGTTATCTCCGGTATAAAATGCGCACATGGTAGTCGTGAAAGCATGTCTGCCAGAACATTTTGCTTTCCAGGTAGATATTCAATTTTTTAGTTGTAACTTCATACAGTTTTTCCTCAGATTCCCAATTCCATATCGAAGTTTTCTTCACAAGATTGCTTAAGGGCCTGAAAATATCAGCAGACTTGTCAATAAATCGTGTGTACCAAGAGCAACTTTGTAAAAAGGATTGAACCTGCTTGACATTTTGTGGAGGCAATATCCAGTCTATGGCCGCAATTTTTTTCTGGATCAACTTGAATACCGCTACTGGTAATCATATGTCCTAGGTATCTAAGTTGCTGACTGGCAAAGATGCGCGCGTAACTTGAATAATCTTAACCGGTCGAAAATACACTTCGTAATATCGTCCAGGTATGCATAATAATGTCAGGAAATCCACTACGGAATCGATCGATCAGTTTTTGGCACGTAGCAGGCGCGTTCCGCAACCCGAATGGCATAACCAAATATCGGAAAGAGTAACGAACAATGTTTTATCACGATCTATTTACGCACTTTCACCTGAACGTAGATCTAGGATTGACATGTAAAAAGGACTTTTTAGTAGCATGAAGTAGGCCATCCATCTTTGGTCCGTGATAATATACAGGGGAGCATATTTAGCATTTTGCGGAGGCAACATCCTGTCTATGGCCGCAGTTTTTTCTCTTCTCAACTTGAATTTAGCTACTGGTTATCATATGCCCTAGGTATCTAAGTTGCTGGCTGGCAAAAGTGCATTTCTCGCGATTTGTGCGTAATTGGATAGTCTTCACCGGTCGAGAATGCACTTCAGGTCAAGTAAAGTTTGTTTTTTATTTAAAGATAAGAGTCAAAATGACATTATGTTGGCAATACAATGTAAAATTGTCAATGCTTTCAAATTTTTTATGTAGAAAAGGCTTGTGTTGCCAACAGAGTTACTAAATTTTTGACTCGGAGAATTTAAAAAAAAAAACATACTTTAACTGTTTTTCAAATGTCTCTGACAGCACAAAAATATCGTCCAAGTATGCCAATATAGGAATGTTAGGAAGTCTTCTACGGAATCAATCGATAAGTCTTTGGAACGTAGCAGGCGCGTTCCCCAACACGAATGGCATAGCCAAATATCGGAAAGAGTAACGAACGATGTTTTATCATGATCGATTCACGCACTTTCACTTGATGGTACCCTGAACGAAGGTCTTTTTAGTAGCATAAAGTAGGTCATCCATCCATGGTAATGGGTAATACACAGAGGTGCTTATTTAGTTCAAAGCATGGTAATATAGGCATAGTTGCTTACTACCATCTTTTTTTGGTGCCAATACAACTGGGGCAAATCAGGCTGACTCGCACTCTTCTGTGACACCCATTTACAAGCAGTTTGTCCAACTCTTGTTTAAGCTTCTCCTTATTAGGAGATGTCGTACGATAGGGTGGAACTGATTTTGGTGCATGCGTAACAGTATCAATGGTATGTTCAGCATAGGGAGTTGGCTCTCCCCCTAGAGCGGAAATATCTTGGTAATCATCAATTAAATCCGACATGAGTTTGTGCTCATTAGGCCTTAACATCGTGCTTTCATCTGGTCTCAATAATGTTATAGATTGTAACTTGCAACTTTAAATCGTGTTCAGCTTCAAACATCAAAAAATAATTTTCAGAAGGATTATCAGCAAAATACCAGTTTTGCTGACCTATATCCATACCTAAGTTCTGGAGAAAATCTATGCCTAACAAGGTTCTGTCAGCATTAGGTAAAGCCAAGAAAGTCGTAGGAATACTCCTGTACCCAAGCTGTACATTGACCTTTAAAATCTTGATATTTAATTCCTTTGTAGTTCCATCATTGCTCTTCAGTGTGACCTGTATACTTACATGTTTATCATTAAGCTCTTTACTTTCATAATGATTCGCGACGGGAGGCAAATCACATCTCGCTCTAAAATCTAATACTTTTTTCCCTTGTATAATGAATAACTATTATGGATGGGATGTTCCATCTCTCGGTGTTAAAGTTGCTCAATATATTGGGATATAGAATATCATCCATAACTCTTTGGAATGTAGCCGGCGCGTTCTTTAAACCAAAGGGCATGCGCAAGAACTCATAATGCCCGTTTTGCGTGTTAAATAACCTTTTTTGTAGCCCTTATTGAGAGCTAAAATTGGGCGAAAAATTCATGCCAATAACTTCACTGGTTTCCAAAATATGGCCCTTTGAAATATTTGGAAATCAAATTTCCAATTTCTAAATTTTCAGTTTTTTGAATTTTTGACTTCACCAATCAGAAGAAAAAGTTAAAATTAGTAGAAAAGCATTCACGCAACTTTGTTTTCAGGGTTTAAAGGGTTGTAAAAAAATAAAAACGATATTTGCAATTTTTGCTCTCAAAAAATTTCAATAATCTGACATTTTTTCACATAATTGCTGAATACCCGGTTATAATTGTAACAAATGTAATGTAAAATTATATATTCTGAATCAGAATTGAATTATCTTCAAGACAAAATAAGATTCAATTGTATATTTTAAATACTTGTGAAGATATTGAGGCTTAAAGTTGAAACTTTACCTCAAATTTTGTAAAAGCTTCCAAGCGGATTATCTTGAAAACGAAGCCCTTGGGCTCGGAGTCTTAAATAACCTTTTTTGTATCCCTTATTAGGAGCTACAATTGGGCAAAAGATTTATGCTAATAGCTTCACTGGTTTCCAAAATACAAGCATTTAAAATATTTGAACATCCAATTTCCATGCATAACCCCTT